AATGGTTAATCGAGTCAGTTGCTAAGGGCTCTGACACTAAGACGCTATGCTCTGAAATGCTGGGGGAAACTTGGTACATGCCTAAGAGGCGTGGATTGTGAAAGAAAAATAACATAGTTTAATCAGCGATTCTTTTTAAGCTATTCAAATATCATGAACAAGATACTAAATTGTATCTAAGGATTTGTATTACATTAAATCTTGTTCTAAATCTTATCTGTTTAATAAATGACTAGTTGATATTTGTGCATGTTATTTAATAAAGAGTTATATTTTTATAGAAAAAAATAAGAGTGAAAAGTGTGCTAAATGTTTTTTATTTTCCTCTCCCACATAACTGTACGCCAAATCCTAATGTTACTTGGGCAACTGGCAAAACTGCAGAAATAGTCATACTGAGAAAACCACCTCTGAAGAATTAGCCTTTCAAGTTGAGATTATTCAATAGTGGGAAGTCTGACAAATCAATTATTAAGTAGTAAACATGTTGCAAATTTCATGACTAAATCACAAGCAAAACCCCATGAAACTTTAATGGGGCTTAAGAATTACAATTATTCTAGAAATTGAGTGCAGCACAAATGTATTGTTCTTTTCCAGAAAGTTAGCAATATTTTTGTCCTGATACATAAATGCCAAATTTTTATATGTAAGAAATTGACTAGGACTCATGATAGAGTCCTCACTTTTTATGCTGAAAGAAGATATTTTCACCTTTTTAAAAAAAAATTCATTTCAAACATTTAAGGCAAAAGATGATTACAAAGGTGCTAACCTTTGGAAAGGCTTGTGTGAAGCTTAGTGATTAAAACTTCTTGTAATGCACCATGTCCTTCGTGGGATGCTTCTTTGTACCTAAAATGAGGTTTTAAGAATCCACAAAAGTAGTCACCCAGAATATTTCCAGGCATGAGAACCAGGACTCATAAAAAACTGAGCTGAATAAAGTGTAAAATAGTTCCATTAATCTGAGTGGCAGCTAAAGCAAAATATCTAGAATTATAACTATAAGCATAAAAATTAGCAAAATAGTATTAAAAATTAGTACAATAGAAAGATTGTTGTTTCCAGTGATTTAATGGTATACAATATCTACAAGTAATACAACTTTTATACATGTATATATATATATATATATATACACACACACACACACCCAGTGGACCCTCAACTTATGATCAGCCTGACATACCAACAACTTGGGTTATGACTGGAATTTTAGCTTTAACTTACAAACAGCATCTTGAGTTAAGACCCAGATGCCAGCTGGTTGTGCTTCCAGATGGTCTCATACAGATTTCACCCTTAAAGAGCTCTGGAAGGAACATGACAGCGTCCTTTCCTGTGTGGGGTTGAGAAATCCTGGGCCGATGTCTAAGGACACTGAGATCTGTCTCTGTACAGGAGAGAGACTCTGAAGGCTGTGTAGAGGAGCCTGAGCCTTCATGGACCAACTTGAGTTACAACCAGCCCTTGAGAACAAACAGTTTGTAAGTCAAGGGTCCACTGTATATATAAATTTTTTTAATGATACCATACCGGGAGGCCAAGGATGTAGCTGAGCAGCACAGCGCCTGCCTGGCAAGCATGAGGTCCTGAGTTCAATCCCTGGTACAAAACATAAAATGGTACAGGGGATTGAATAGAGAACCAGCTAAGCCCAGCTGTTTTTATATTTTTATTTTGAGACAGTGTCTTGCTGAGTCACTAAGTTGCCCAAGGTGGGCTCAACTTCCTGTCTCAGCCTCCAAGAGTGCCAAGATTAGAATGCACCACCATACCTGGCTCACACAGATACACTGTTAACCTCAACAGCCTTTGCTCACACGGTGAGTCAGGTTTGGTACTCAGTAAATTAAAGAAATTTGTGAATATTAATGAGCTCTTAATGCTTTTTTTAAAACTTTGGATGTCATATCCAACTTTAGTAGGAGATGAAAGCTTTCAGGTAGCCATCTTTTCCCCACTTTTTAAAATAATGTTGCTGTGACCAGATATGAGACATATCTAGCCCATGTTTACAGGTTAGAGGCCACCTCCTGGAACCCACCAGTTTAACAGCACATCTGTGAGTATCTTCTTCCGGTGTTTAAGTCATTCTGTCCACAACAGTGCCCAGATCTAGTCAGTTTGCTAAGTCCTTGACCGAGGTTAACTCAGGTTCCCATTACCCAAATCAAGACGCTGGGAGTCATGCCCATCATCCCAGAAAGTCCCCTCATGCCTCAGTGAATGCTCCCAGAGGCACCCACGTGGTCGCTTCCCCTCACCGTGTCTCAGCTGTATCGGGAACGTGGAGATGGAGCCACACAGCACATATTGTGTGTGCCTGGCTTCTCAGCAAGGTTTTGGGATTCATGTTGCATATAACTCATTAATGAGTAGTAGAAAATTGTACAAATGTGTTTGTTCTCTTGTTGGTAGTAGTTGGATTGTTTACAGTTGGGACTATTATGAGTAAACCTATGAACACAGAAACCTCTATTGTGGAGATGTTTTTTAATTTCTCTTGGGGACATAGTGGCAAATACAATCACCGAGTCATAGAGTAGTTTCATGTTTATTAGAAATGAGTTCTTCAAAGTGATTGTGCCATTTTATACTCCTACCAACAAGGTACCAGAGGTCCAGTTGCTCTGAGTCTGCCAATACAGCATTCTGTATTATTAGGCCAGAGTTGGTGCCCGTGGAACGACTTGCCTGGCACTCTCAGCAGCGCACTGGGAAACGGGGTCGTCAGTCATCATCCGCGGCAGCTGTTCTGGTGGGTGTGGGCCTCGAGGTGCCTCCAGGCCTCGGTTTGCATTCCTCCAGTGATTAATGAGGTTGAGCATAACTTTTATAGCTTATGGAAGCTATTTGTACGTCTTACTTTTGAAAAGTCCTCAATTACATTGCGCATTTTTTTGTTGTGTTGTCCTTTTATTGGTTTGTAGGAATCCTTTATTTTGTATAAAAGTCCTTTGTTGGGTACCAGCATCACGGGTGTTTCTATCCAGGGAGGCTTGCCTGTCCATTTTTATTGGTTAGTTTCCTCACTTTTTTCTCTTCAGACAGCATCTCATGAAGTTGTTCAGGCAGCCTTGCAACCTGCCTGTCTTCCTAGCAGCTGGGGTTATAGGCGTGCGCCTCTGCACTCAGCTACGTTCCTCGCTAACCATAGCCTCCTGAGTTTCCTCACTGTAACACTGGCTCACACTGATAACCGTTTACTGAGTGTGTGATGGGTGTCCTAACGCCTTTCAGAACGGTGTTGCCCTTGAGGTAAAAAGGATGTGTCCGTTAAGTAGCGGTCGCCTTTGGCTCTCATGGCCCACCTGCATTCATTTTAGAGCCATTCGTGATTGGCTGAGGAAGCTTCGCCCGGCCTTCCTGACCCGACCTCCCCTTTCCCGGCGTGGAAGTACGGTGCTCTTGTGGATAATTCCGCTCCTGAGCCCGTTCGGCCGCCTGGACGGCCACGCGAAGTCCGGTCTCACAGGCGGCCTTCCAGGAAGCAGGCAAGCTGAAGTGTGTCGCGGTCCACAGCTGTCCACACATTCCGCCAGTGCTTTGTGTACTTCCACAATGCTCAAACACGAGACCACCTTAGGCTTTTAGTACCCACAGATGTCTCACGCCAGCACTGCCACAGAGCTTTAAGGGTTCCAGAGGGGTCTTAGGGCCAGTTTGAGAACAGGAGGCCCGGGCAGGCACTGTGTAAACCCTAAGGGACAGTCTGGCACACCTGTGATGAGCTGTGAACTGACTGCCAGGAAACCCACAGGACAGCCTCACAGCCCTCGGGATCCTGTGATCTCTGGAGCAGCACGACCAGCACACGGGGCTCTGCCAGGCCCGGTGCACAGATGGTGAACCCGGTGTGTGCAGAGCAGACTGGGCCGCAGGATGAGGCCCTGGGATTGTTTTCAAGGTTGATTTTTAAGCTTGCACTTCGCGCTCACAGTTCGGCGCGCCGCCCTCAGCGAGGAGATCGCCTGGCCAGTCGGCTGCCTCCGCCCTCCGGTGTCCCCAGGGACGCGGGGGAGGGAAGCCTCTCGGACTCTGCGGCCTGAGCGCTCTGAGGAGAGGTCAGTATCTCCCAGGGGAGGGGCACTCGTGGACCGTCCAGCGCTGTGGCTTCTGTCCACTTAGCGACCTTGGGATTTTGTTTAAAAAGCAGATTCTGGGTGAGGAAGGCGAGGAGCCGAGCGCGGGCCTTCCGGCGGGGCCTGGGGGGCGTGCCCTGTGGATGGGCGTGGTTTGCGGGGTGGGAGTGGGGTGGGCGTGCCCCACGGGTGGGCGTGGTTTTTGCGCGGGCGTGCCCGAGCGGGCGCGGAGGACGCGATGCTCCTGTCCCTTTAAGGCGCCGGGGCTGGCGTGGACGCGGCTTGGCCTGGGGCGGCGACGCGGGGCCGGCGGGCGCGGTGAGTGCGGGCTTGGGGCTGAGGCCGGCGGGAGGTCCGGCGTGGGAGGCTGGAGCGGACCGGCTCGAGGAGCTCGCGCGGGCGCCGCCTCGGCCTCCCTGGGCTCGCGGGCGCCGGGCGCGGGCCTGGGCCGCACGGCCTGCGCCGGCCGTGAGCGCGGGCGCGGGCGCCTTCTCTCGCTGAAGCCGGGGGCCAGGTTGGCCGTTCAGCCCCGCAGTTGTGCCCGCCTGGTTCCTCCCGTCGGACTGTAATATCTTCTTAATAACCTCGCGGCCTGAGCAGAGTGAAGAGTGTCTGCTTGCGAAACGAGCTGCCCCGAGTTGTTAGTGTAGTTGATAATTGACGGCCCCCGTCTCTGGCTTATTGTCCAAGGAGTGACTTGAACTGCTCACTCCTCTTTGAGTCGCTGTATTCTGTTAACAGACAAAGCACATTGTTTATGAGGCCGCCATAATTAACCATGAGAAGAATTGATGCAGTTCCAGTAATTAAATAATTGGGGGGCCGGAGATGTAGCTCAGCGGCACCGCCTGCCTCGCAAGCACAAGGTCCTAAGTTCCATCCCCGGTACCAAACCCCCCCCCAAAACTAGGCTTGGGGTATAGTAAGTTCAGTGGTGTGTACTACTAGGCCCTGGGTTCAATCCCTAGCATAAGACACACCTGCAGAAAGCATTTTAAATTATAATACAGTATTGATGGTTTTCTTAGGGGTTCAGAGCTGAATAATAATGGACCTAAAATTAAAGTTGAATAATCAGTCTTTTGACACAAACAGTAAGTCTTGGTTTATGGTTGGTGTGTGTTTTGGGTATCATTTTTACCCTCCCACTTGCCTCTGATTTCAAGCTGGTGTGTGTGTGTGTATCCAGCTTGCTGGGAGTTGCCGATCATCTTCGTGGGAGAATCATGAAGTCACACTGTGTCGCTGCACTGACGCTGGCCGGGCTGATGTTCCTGATGTGGCTCCCCGGGTCTCTGAGCTGCAACAAAGCACTCTGCGCCAGCGATGTGAGCAAATGCCTCATCCAGGTAGGACTGTGTACTGCTGTGAGCTTGAACACATATGTGGAGTAAGTAGGTAGCACACAGGTGCAAAGGATGTGTGTAAAGTGTGGGGTACAGCCTGAGTGTTAGGCCAGAGCCCGAGGTACTGAGTCATGGTGCACTCTGAAATTTTACCTCTGGTCAGATTCAAGAAGTTCTATACCGGTGATAGTATCCTGCGTGCTACTCTTCTATGTCAAGCACTCTGCTCAGATGAATTGAAGGATGTCCTTGTGTAATCTAGTTTATAGAGCAGACTTTTAATGATTGTGTATTTAGAAACAAAATTAGCCAGCCAATTAACAGGCAGTTGTACCCCAAGTATAATGTATTAGTCTTCTGTTGCTGTGTAACAAATTACTCCAAAAATGTAGTAACTTTAGTGCAGTGAACTGTATCTTGTGAAGTTTCTGGGGAGCAGTTCAACTGAGTGGTTCTGGCTCCAGGTCTCTCACAGGTTACAGGCAAGTTGTTGGCTGGAATTACAGAACCAGCTTCCAAGAGAGTTAAAAATGAGGACCCCTCCAGTCACCAGTCCAAGCCTACTGACTCCAGCAAGCCTTGCTTTTCATTTCTCCAAGGACAAAAGTGAGGTTAGGCAGTTTGGCCAGGTTCGTGTGGCTAGTAAGTACGTGTGGAATTTGGTCTCTGACTCCACAGCTCATGGCCTTTCCACTAAACGTATTGGTCACTGCTCTCCATAAAGTTGTGATAATTAGTCATGTCTTCCTGTCTTCCATAACCGGTTTATCTTTGCCCATCCCGTTAAACCATTGGCAAGCTTTCCAGTATCAACCTCCTTTCTAGTTACTCGCTGTGGGCTGAAAAGTCTGGTAACGACACATAGGGATTGGTTATCATTTGCTAAATGCTTGGGGCCAAGGGGCTGGGGATGTAGCTCAGTGGTAATGCACCTGCCTGACAAGTGCAAGGTCCTGAGTACAATCCCCAGTACTGGAAATAGATAAATAATTCTCGAAAGCATGTTTAAACAAATATTTTTTTAAATAAATGCTTGGGGCCAATATGTGTTTCAGATTTTGGGCTTTTTCAGATTTTGAAATATTTGCGTGTACATAATGAGATTCTTGAGAAGGGATCCAAACCTAAATGTAGAATTCATGTATGTCTCAATATCTACTTCATACACATAGCTTCAGGGTGGTTTTATGCAGTATTTTATACAGTGCTTGCATTTTGCCTGAGACTCATCATATGAGGTCAGTTGTGGAATTTCCACAGTGACATCATGCTGCTACTCAAAAAGATTTGGAATTTGGAGCATTTCAGGTTTTGAAATTTGGGGTTAGATGCACTCAACCTGTGTTAGCATACTGTTTGAAACATGAGTCAGCTAATGCTTAACTGTAATCCTCACTTGAGGGTAACTGCATGTATCTACTAGAGTGATAATTATTTTGGTAGATCAAAAGCATTTTGTGTTTATTTCTGACATTTGGTCCTTTTTATTAAGAATTGAAATTCTGGTTGCTCCCATCTGTTATGGCTTGTATCTAGATGTACCCCCAAAACCTCACCCATTCGTAGGTGGGTCTATTCAACAGTGGCTGGATCTAGGGTGTTTGTTAACTAAATTATTCTACTGATTGGGTCAGCATAGTTCTGAATGTGGATAATGGGAAGGCCTACCCTGGGTGTGGGTGGCACCAACGAACAGGCTTGTAACCTGTATGGGATAAAAGGAAAAGGAAGGTTGACTGCTATTGCTGTCTTCTGCTTGCCCTTCCAAGGACTGTTTCTCCTCTGTCATGCTGCCCTGCCTTGGAGCTAACAAACTGTGGACTGAAATTTACACAAACTGTGAGCCAAAATAAGCCTTTCATCCTTTAATTTGTGAGTGTTGGTTATTTTGTCTTGCAATGAAAAAGTAACTAAGACATCATCTCATACTCTGATAACTTTTACTTTGCATTTCAAATCATTTAACTGGAGAAGGTTCTTGGTAGGTTGCTTTTACACTTTGTTCTGTGGACATTCTCAAGTATGAATGGAGGAGAGTATAATGAACTCACCAGGTAGATCAGTCAGTAACTCACAGATATCCTTATTTCATCTATACTCTTCCAAACCACCTACCCTTGCTTTGTTTTAATTTCAAGACAATCCTTAATGCCATTTTACCCGTAATTCTAACAGACAAGAACTCCTTAATGTAAAGCTGTTAAGCTAATGTGACAATTTAAAAATTAACAGTAATTCATTGGTCATCTTATTTTGCATGTGGAAATTCCAGTCGAGTGTGTCTACTTAGGTATGTGCTGGCTCTGGGGTTTGTCATCTGCACCAGAGATACAGTTGTTCTGTGGTCAGACAGGGAATCTGTGCCATTTCCCAGGTTGTTCCAATGCAACATCATTATTCATTATTAAAAATAAAGCCTCAGGGCTGGGAATTTAGCTCAGTGGTTTTGCCGTCTGCTGTGCAAGCTCAAGGACCTGAGTTCGATCTCTGGTACCAAAAAAAAATAAAATAAATAAAGCCTCATAACCTTTGCTATATTCATGTGTAGGTGGAAATTCACTTAACTCAGAGGTCCCCAACCTTTTTGGGACCAGGGATAAGTTTCGGAGAAGACAATTATTCCTTGAACAGTGAGAGCAGGTAGTTTGGGATGATTAAAGTGCATTACATAGGGCCAGGGATTTGGCTCAGTGGTTTTGCTGCCTGCTGAGCAAGCTCAAGGACCCAAGTTCAATCCCCAGTACCAAAAAAAAAGCAACTGTTTAAAGTGCATTACATCTATTGTGTACTTTATTTCTGTTACTATTATTATATTGTAATATGTAATGAAATGATTATATAACTCACCATAATGCAGAATCCCTGGGGGCTCTGGACTTTTTTTCTTGCAATTAGATGGTGATTCCATGATCTCATTTTGGTTGCTGTCACTGCTGCAGAAAACCCTGCTTCACAAAGATAGGATGTTGGGCCGGGGATTTAGCTCAGTGGTTTCACTGCCTGCTGCGCAAGCGCAAGGACCCGAGTTCGATCCCTGGTACCGAAAAAAAAAAAAGACAAAAACAAAGATAGTATGTTGGAAATAGAAGCAGGGTTTTTAGTACTTTTGTGGTAGGCTTAGGATATTCTGCCCTGACATTAGTCCAAAACATATGGAGATCTAAAGTTGTCTCCAGCATATCTTGTTGGTTTCTTGTTTTGTTTTTTTTTGGTACCGGGGATCAAACTTGAGACCTTTTGCTTTTGAAGGAGGTGGTGGCACCACTGAGCTAAATCTGTGGCCCATCTCCAGGATATCTTTAAGGCCACCATCATTTGTTACCTCAGCCCACTGATGCTCTTCTAGCATGGGCAGAGTTGATTCACCTGGTTATTCACAAGTGGGTCATGAATCCATTCTTTTCCAGTGTGGGAGTGTTTTGTGTTGGAAAATACAGCTCACACTCTTTTGGAAGTGGAGATAGGTGATCATGAACCGGCTGGGTGAAGGAAGGTCCTGGATCAGTCTCTTTCAAAATCTCTGCTAATGTTTGAAAGATGTCACAAATCCCAATGTTCATTTGTTACCCCCATAATTCCAGTTTGACTTTGAATGCAGCCACTTTATCTAATGACTTGAACACAGTATCATTCTCCCGTGAAGTGACATACTGAGTTTATTGAGCAAGTTGATTGTGTCACATGCGTAAGCAAATTTTGTGTCCCATTCTGGTTCACTGAGATGTGCTGCTGCTGGTGAATGTTTTTCTAAAAGAAATTGGATTCTAAGTTAAAGCCTGCTACTGGATACAGCTTCCTTGTCCCTTGCCACTCATTAATAGTGTTTTGATGTGAGTCTGCAAGCAGTCATTTATGATGGTCTCTGTGCAGTCAGCCCTCTCTGCTATGTTAATCTCTATTTGCAGCCTTTCCCCAGTGCTAGCATCACTGTCTCAGGTCCACCTCTGGTCATCAGGAGCACCCAGTGTAGATCCCTCACATGCAAAGTTAACAGTAAGGTTCATGCTTCTATGAGAATCTAAGCTGTTGCTGATCTGGTAGGAGGCAGAGCCCAGGCTGTAATTTGAGTGGTGGGGAGACACTTCCATTGCTTGCCCTGCCGCCCATAGCTCACCTCCTGCTGGGCACACCAGGCTGATGCCAGGTACTAGATTGGTGACCCCTGATTTAAATCCCAAGGTTTTTTGTTTGCTTGTGTTTTCTTTTTTGAAGCAGGGTCTCACTATGTAGTTTAGGCTGGCCTTGAACTCATGGAGGTCCTCCTGCCTCAGCCTCCCCAGTGCTGGGATTACAGGCGTGTGCCACCACACCCATCCTAAGGTATTTTTGCCTGTTGTTGTTGGTTTGTTTTTGTTGCTGTTGTTGTTGTTTTCCCCTGTGGTACTAAGGATTGAACCCATAGCCTTCACACTGAACTATGTCCCCAGCCCTTTTTTATTGTGAGACAGGGTCTTGCTGAGTTACCCAGTCTGGACTCAAGTTTGTAATCCTCCTGCTTCAGCCTTCTGGAGTACTGGGATTAAAGATGTGTGCCACCACACCTAGCTTTTTATTATTTTTTGACTCTCTAAATCTAAACTTCTGTTAGTTATAATAATTAAAAATTATACATTACCTAAAATGCTTTGCTTTTAAAGAGTATTTCAGAGACAAAGCTTTGGGTGAATATTGATAAATACAAAGGTTTTTTAAAATTTTGTCTTAGAAAAAATTTTAGTTTAAAAAATTTAAGGCAAAGTACTTAAAAAATAATGAATACTATAAAAGTGTAAGAACTGGAAAAACAGATGAAAGTTCGTCTAATGGGAGAAGCTGGGGCTTGGGTTTTCTGTCCCTGGCTCATGGGTGCCGACCTCTGAGAGCCCACTGTTTCTGCACGGCCAGGACAGCCCATCCCATCCCCGTCCTGGGAGTGGTGGACAGGTCTGCCCTGGTGAAGACTGGAAGGATGCTTTGGGTTAAAATTATCAAAGGTTTGAGTTTCGAGGATCTTCTTATTCATT